CGAACTCTCATCATCCTCTTCATCACAATCAAAGTTTCAATCGGATTAAAGCTTTTTCTGTCCGTTTGGCTTTGACACGCCGCCTGTAGGAACCACTAGGTCCAGCCTCATTCTCCAGTGAATATTCCCCTTGGCCTTCACATGCTACAACAGCAAGAGTTGCAAGGTTATTCTCATCCATTGATTCTAAACGATCAATTCTATTATTCGCCTTATCCCCTTCATCTTTATCTCCACGGTTAGTCGGTCCTTCTTGAGATCCAGCACTTTCCATCCTCAACTGTTCATTCACCAACAAGTCTCTGGTTTCTCCTTCCATAACTTTCGGACTATCTACTCGATAACCAAAACAACCACAAAATACGAAGAAACCAACTCAAATCCATAGTTGTCATTAATGGAAAACAAACAAACATTCTAAACTTGATATAATCATTTTTCACCTGACGATCTTTTGGAACTTCCTGCTACTTCATTCTTTATATCATCATCGGTTTCAACCTTATCCTCAACCATTTCAGGTTTCATATCCTCAACAGAACCACCAATCCCTGCAAACACACAAGAACTCTCATTATCAAAAAGAAAACTCAACGAAATCATAATCAATTTGGTGACAATGGTCTATTCATTTCATTACTTTCTTGGTTCACTTGATCTCGGCTTCTCAATTCGACATCTTCTTGGTGTTCGATACTTGTACTATTCGAATGAATCGCCATATTGGTTAGTCCTATGTCAAAGAAGTTAGGAGAGACTAATTTTGCTTTTCCCGTGAAACTGATATCTGCACATCTTAAGCTTAGACCGTTTCCAGGAGACCACACTAATTCTGTTATAGCATCAACAGAAGCAAATTTCATTCTTGCCTCTGCATTTGCAGAACTAGGACCCGAAGAACGACGACTCGAAGACGAGAGTCCTTCTAACTCTTTACTTTGCTCATCTCCATCTCCCATACCTTCTGAAACCAACCACCCTGAGAGACATAAAGAACCAGAATCTATACAAAATTGACCTCAACGACCAATATCTAAATCACTTAGCTTAAAAACTAAGTAACACAACAATTGAAAACCCATCAAAATTAGAAAGTAATCAAAAACCTAGATTTCTTTCCAGAGATCATAAACCTATAAAACAACCGAGATTTGGATTGAGAAAATTGATAACCTCTACCTCAAGTAATCATTCAATCTTCAGAGTAAAGTTTTTCAATAATCGAAAACCCTAAAAACCCAGAAAACTTGGAATCAAGAACCCTAAAATCTCATAACATAAAAACATCACAACCTGTCAGAGAATTACACCAAATTATTGAAAACACAAATTACCTCCATGGGTATTCAATTTTCTACTTCTGAGAATTCTTCACTTAATGAGAAAAAGAAAGAGAAAGAAGAAGAAGAAGACGAAGACGACACAGCGCCAAGCGGCTATGGCTAACTTGCTTCAAAAGCTTTTTAATTGCATTTTTGTTACAAGGTCCCCAGACTGCCACGTGTACACTTTCTTCTCCATACATTTCCCGCTTCTCAAATATTAAAAAATATATAAAAATAGAAGAAACCAATTTCTTATTTTGGCTATAAAACGATAAAAATGGGAAAAACGGCATATTTCTTCATGAGAAGTATGCTTATCACGCCAGATAGAGCCGGTTCTTTGACCTTGGTATATATGTCCATAAAACGAAAGTTAAATACTTATTTCCCCACGAAATGGAAGTTCAATAACATAATCTCCCTGAATTAATACTTTGAGATCTATTAACCCACATGTCTGGGTTTTGTCGGTTTAATGTACACCAATTCACTCTTAACCATTTTAAAACAAACTTTAACCAAAACTAAACCGAAATGATCAGTTATCAACCCGAACCCGGCCAAATCTCCGAAATTATCAGTTATCAACCCGAACCCGGCCAAATCTAACCTCCGGCGATCGTCGTTGGTCACTGGCTTCATATCACCGGTTATATTTCCTTCCTGCTTTATCCGGTAAACTTTTTCACATCAATTTTCGATCGTTTATGTTCCTTCACAAAATCGATGAAGTTTGATCTTTTCCTTTTCACTATTAACGGACCAATATTTACACAAGAAATCAACAAAAACTTCACACCAAACAATTCTTAATTTTGGGATGTCCCATAATTGTACCTTAGATTTTGTGTTCTTGAGGTATCACTTGAAAAGTGAATAATTAAGAAGTTTTGATAAATAGTTGTGGGATAATTTGATAATTGTGTGTTTTAATTTGATTTCTTTATTGTGAATTGTGATGAAGAAGGAAAATTAAAAATGGCGACTCTGGTTTGAAATCCATCTTCGACATGAGAATGTCATCGCTTTGAAAGATGATGAAGCCAGCTCATAAGAGGAGCTTCAAGGATGTGTATCTTGTTTATGAGCTCATGGATACAGATCTCCACTAGATTATCAACACTAAGGGTCAGTTTATGACTGAGTATGTTGTGACTCATTGGTACCGAGCTCCCGAGCTTCTCCTCTGGTGTGACAACTATGGAACATCCATTGATGTTTGATCCGTTGGTTGCAATTTCGCCGAGCTTCTTGATAGGAAACCGATATTCCAAGGAACGGGTTAAGCGAGTAGTGATGCCATGGAAGCTGTATTTTATTAATTACAAGCTCTAAGTGTGTTTGTAACATATGTACATATAGAACTCTGTTTCTTTGTTTCTTTGTTACGTTCTTTTCAGAACTTTTAACCATCTGATGCAATCCTAGAACCCGTAATTGTACCTTAGATTTTGTGTTCCTTTAGCTATCAGATTATGATTTTGTTTCTCATAGGTGGTTTAATCACAAGAAGAAATAAAGTCTAATTCCAATTTTGACAAAAACAAAACCCAGATCCTGAAATCGGGCGTAGAAGAGAAGAAGGAGAGGAAAGAAGAAGAAGGGAACTGGGTTTGTGTTTTAATTTGATCGAAATCAGGTTTTCTTTGGTTACAAACGGTTAAGTAAACAATAACCGACGAAACCCAGATATGTGGGTTAATAGATCTCGAAGTATTAATTCGGGGAGATTTAGCTATTGAACTTACGCTTCGGGAAGAAATAGGTATAAAACATCTTTTTCAAGGACATATAGACTGGAGTTAAAGTTTGGGCTCTATCTGGTATGATACGATACTTTTCGCGGGGAAATAGACCGTTTTTCCATAAAAATGAGATATAGAAGTTAGTGTATAAATAATGATATCCAAAGATTTGTAGTCACGCGAGACAGTTATCAATTATAAAAGCGTTACGAAAAGCATTACTAAAAGTTTTACTGTCAGTTTTTTTTATAGCTTTCTCTTACAACTTTTTCGTACAGCTTTGCACTATTCCGGAAAAGCTAACAGCTCCAGCTAACAGCTAACAGTTTTTGGTTACCAATCGAACCCATAAATTAATACAGTAATTTTCTTCTTTACAGATTTCTCTTTTATCCTAAAATCTTATATGAGCATAGACAAAAAAAAAAAAGTAATAATAATGAAAAATTACGTAAATATTTGTGTGTAATAATTTGGCTGAAAGAAAGGCATGATGAGTTATGTCCTATTCTGCTGTCAAGTTCCTGTTTGCTTCTGTAACTGTACGGCTGCTTTGAATTTTTTCACTTAGCTTTGAAGGAAATAATAATATCATATATTTAGATAAATTGTATCTAAGATTTAAAATAATTCAATGTTGATGGTATAACATTGATGTATATGTTTTACCAAAAAAAAACATTGATGTATATGTCAATCTTAATCAAGTATAAGTCCAAGGGTATATAGGCCACATGTTTGAGTTTTTTTTTTGTTTCCATTGACGTCGGTCTATCTTCTTCTTTTTTGCAAATCAATTTTTATTTTTTGGATTTTTCTGTTCTTTAGCCTTATTTTCGACTATCTAAAACATTGTATGACTTTCAATTTTGGGATAGTTTGACAGAAGCATTTACGATATTATATTTATGTTTTGAGTCAATGAATTGAACTGAAGATTAAGAATTTTCATGCAAAAATTAATTGAACAAGAAAGGAATATATAAGACTTTTTTTTATGATATGTTTTCTGTAATTATTTTTACTATGATTTTTTATTTCGTTTATTTTTATGGATAATATTAGCAAATAGCTAAATTCTACACAAAAATTAAGAAAGTAATGTTATGTCAGTTTTCTTTAGAAACTAACTCTTTTTCTTGTGGGGTATGAGTAGGATGAATACGAAATTATCCTTGTAAGTTATGGTAATTACAAAAACTTTGTGGCTGAATATAAAAAAGAAGACAAACATATACTGGTAATTTTAATGAATGACATGTATCAATTAAAAATGACACTAGATCTGAAAGAAAAACATTAAAATGACTTGAAATTTGTGAAAAACTACAGTGTTTTCAAAAAATATAGCTTGTCGAAGGAAACTATAGTATGTCATTTTAGAAAATATAGCGTGTTGAAAATTTTTAGCGTGTTAAGAAATAATAGCGTGCCATGTAAAAATAAATAGCATGTTATATGAAAGGTGGTGACGGTGGCTATAGAGGTGGTGGTGGTCGTTACGGAAGTGGCAGTGATGGATACGAAAGAAAGAGGTAGCAATATTTCAAATATGGGTAGAGGCGGTGTTGTCGAGGTTTATACTATAGTGGTGGTTTAAGAGGTAGCGGTTGGTGGTGTCGATACGATTTGACAAAAGAGACGTTGATGGTGGAGAAAAAAGACAAACAGATACAAGTAATTTTAATGAATGACATGGATCAAATACAAATGACACTGGATCTGAAAAAAAAAACATTGAATTGGCTTGAAATTTGTTAAAACTACAGTGTTTTCGAAATTATAGCTTGTCAAATGAAACAATAGCATGCCATTTTAGAAAATATAGCATGTTTAGAAAATATAGCGTGTTGAGAAACAATATCATGCTATTTAAAAACAAATATATAGCATGTCATATGAAAGGTGGTGACAGTGGCTATGGAGGTGGTGGTCGTCATTATGGAGGTGGCGGTGATGGATAAAAAAAAGAAGTAGAAGAGATTTCAAATATGGGTCGACAAGGTGTTGTCGAGGTTTATACTGTAGTGGTGGTTTAAGAGGTGGCGGTTGGTGGTATCGATACGATTCGACGGATAAGACGTTGTTGTTGGTGGTGTCGCTTTCGATTGAGAAGAGAAAGAGAAAAAGATAAATCTATTTCGATGAGAAAAAATTGATTATGGGTTTGGGCATGGTTGTGGTGAAGAAGACAAAAGGGAAGAGAGTGGTCGAAGATGGATGGAGAGAAAAAAAACAAAACTAAAAGAGAATAATGGAGATTGAATATATAAAGGTTGTAAGTGTAATTTACATAGTCTCCCCGACAAGATACTGTTGTTGAAGGTTAGTTTCTTCATTCTTTTCTGTTTCATAGTTAGTTTATGCATATTCCCTATTTTTATTGAATCCTACTTTTTTGGATTGGTTTTATGGAAGTTTATACCAAATGAAGACGTCAGGATTTCTATTAATGTACATAATTTCCGTATATAGTATAGTTCTTTGTATATATTATTGAGTTTATACAATAGTCAAATATAAATCACTTTAGCATTTTATTTTCGGCTTAGTGGCACTGGTTTAGGCTAATTTTTATTTGTATATAAACTTCTAATTGTACAGATTTTATAAATAATGATCCGCGACGGTCTAGCCCGCTAACGACCGCGGGTTACAAACACAAGCCCATGCCCCCCCCCCGCATAGCCCAGCGGTTTGACGGTCCGGCCCGCGGGCATTCTTGGTTCAACAATTTTATGTTCAGTTCGTGCAAGAAATCCTCTACAACCCAGCTAAAAATTACTAGGAAACAAATCTATGAATACAAGCTATGAAAACTCAACAAAGATACAATTGGCTTGAATTCTTTAAGAAAACGCATAATTCATGACCAGAATGATTATCATTCGATTCATTCCCCACATCTAAAGGCCATAATCTATTCGTTTACACTAATTTTCAGAAATTAAACTTCATATATAAATTGGCTTCGTAAGGATGGTGACATGGTGTTGTGAACGTATGGTTTATATGTTAAGATTCCAAATAAAAACCAAAACATATTCTTAAAACCAGAAACTGATTCTCCAAAATAAACTGAAACTCTCACACAAACCCAGTCAAGTAAATTTGTTGAACAATCATCAACAAATTTTCACACACGATATCAATTCTTGTCAATCGATATGCCATCCCTCAATCCTTTCGCATCGATCTTCAGTCACGATAACTTCAGAGTTCAGATTCACCACAAACTTCAATCAATTCATGGAGAATTAGAGAAGAATTGAAACGGCTTGGAAGGAGATGAATAATTAAACGGACCACCCGCAAACCCGCGACCGCAAAGGGACAGAATCCGTCTGACCCGCAAACTGTACGGGTTGAGTCCGCGAGACCCGCCTTTTTTTGGGCATCAGTTTAAAGGCCCATACCCGCCCCGCTAAGTGACATAACGGACCATGCCCGCAAGTTTGAGGCCCAATTGACATCTCTATACACTAGTCAAAGATAAACCAGTTTAGCGTTTCATTTCCGGTTTAGAGATTCTGGTTTAAGCTAATGTACTTTTATATAAAATTATGTCAAACTTTTACTTGTTGTTTATGCAATCTTTGGCTGGATTCTCACTTAATTGGATATATCTAATGTTTTCATTAATTAATGAGGATTTTTTTTTTTAAACTATTTCATAAATTAAGATAGCTCAAACTCCATAGGAGGAGGAGAAAATACATGCAACAGAGGAGTTTCCAAAACTCAAACACATAAAGAAAGGGAAAGGAAGAAGCTTGGTCTTCATTCTTCTGATATCATCAAGGATATCGTCAACAGCAAATGTGTGGCCTCCGACATTGAGAAGAAGGGGGAGTTCTTGCCAATTCGAATAATAAGCCAACCTTGAAACACCCACCACTAAGGCCGTGCAGATCGCCGTCTTCAAAGCAAGTTCCTCCGCTACTAGAGCAAAGGAGACAACGGGTCGAAAAGATGATCCATGTTGGATCGATGCCATAAGTGGTTCCTCCATGAACCACCCCATTCCGTAGCAGCTGGACATAGACATCCAAAATGCATTGGGAAGACAAGCAAAGGTGTCTTGATACTCTTCTATCTTCTGAATCAATTGCTGGAGTGTTTGGGAGGTTTTATCACAAAGGACCTCAACTTCACCACCATCCTTAGCCACAGAGAAAGTTAAAACAAGTCTAACAACGTCCTCAATACAAGGAAGATCGGATTCACCATAGAAGTGATCCGAGAGGTAACCTAAAACCAACAAATTTACACCAAAGCCAGAACCAACAATCGTCAAAGATTGTCTGCAAAGATGCCTACTTCCAGTAAGAGACATTACCACCATACCAATATAGCTTTGATCCAATCTGATAAGTGTAAAATCCTCATACTGAGGTACAAACCTCATACAGAGGTAAATGAGAACTAACAAAGGATATGTTCTATACCATTGGACAATACACAAGAGGGTAATAGAGACCAAACCTTCTGACTTTAAGTTGAAGGGGAGGGGAGGCAGTGGAAGTCGAGGTTGCTCGCTGAAGAGAGTACAAATTTGGCCCCTATCCAAAGATATTCCATCGAGAGCTGCGTGGTGAAGGAGGGGAGGCGAGCGAGACGACGAGATGGTGACGAGAGCTTCTAAGCAACTGCGTCCTGGCGGAGGATCTGGAGGTTTTGGAGGAGACTGTGGTGGAGGTTTTGGAGCAGACAGTGGTGGAGGCTTAAATATCGGTTCCGGAAGAAGCTTCAGTCCGAGAGAGGTGAGAAGGGTCGACGGACGAAGAGGCGAAGGCTTCTGGGAAACCACCCAAGAGGAACCAGCCATCTCCCCGGAAACAAGAGGAAGACACACACAAGACCGGAAGAGCATCGGTAAAACGCCGGACCACGCCAGTAAGAAACGAAAAGACAGTGGAAACGAACCGGAAAAACACAGGAAGAGAGCTGGAACAGAACTGGAAGACCCCAGAGATCACCAAACTAGAGGAACGATGCCGCTGGAGGAGCTTCGCCGGTGGGAAAAGCCATAAGGAAATCTTCAATCGGCGCCTCAAACTGCGGGTCTGGGAGAGAACTAGGGCGAACTAGTTATGCATCTAGATAAGGGGAATCTCTCCCTCCCTATGATGTGTGTAAGTTGAAGAAATCCCTCTATGGTCATAGACAAGTCTTAAGGCAATGATTCCTTTATATTATCAACAACTTTACTTGGTCTTATTTTGTTCAATCTCATTGTTATCACACCCGTTTCTAAAAGATTTTAAATTCTTTTTTTATTCGGTATGTTAGTTTATATTGATAATATCATCATTTCTAGCAACGTAACAATAATGCAGTAATTGACACTCTAAAGAAATTTTTTTATTGAGTCTGTACACAGGTCAAGTATAAACCAGTTTTAACATTCAATTTCCGGTGTACTGGCTCTGGTTTAGGCCAATGTCTACTTCTATATAAATCCTCAATTTTACCGATTTGACAATTAACTAATGAGGATGAGATTTATTTACTAAAAAGTTCCATCTTAAAATAAATAAATCATGACCTCTAAGTTCTGATATTTTATAAAAACTTTTAATGAATAAATCTATTCATGTCAAATAACTTGATAGTTAAATGAATAACTTATGAATAAGTCGGTAACGCAGTAGCCACCAATTTAATCAAAACCTCTTTCCCTCCCTTCGATAAAAATTTTGCCGTCCATCCATTTATCCTGCTTTGTAGCCTATCTCTTACAAACGAGAAAATTTTTGTTTTCGAGCCACCCAAACTTTCCGGTAATCCGAGGTAAGAACCCATGCCGCCTAATTTTGTAATACCTAATACTGTTTTCACCTCATTTTGTACATCATCTCTAAGTTCTGATATTTTATAAAAACTTTTAATGAATAAATCTATTCATGTCAAATAACTTGATAGTTAAATGAATAACTTATGACTTTACTTTTCCTTATTTATAATATTGTAGATTTTCTAATACTATATTATAAATTTAAATGAGATGTGTTTAAATATATTTTTGATGTGGAATCATACTCTTCAAGATTATTTCTTTAGTTTAGATCTCAAATCAAATCTCATTGTAGGATTAAAAACATACATTAGAATCGTTCTACATGGTGCAATAATATGGTTTTTAATGTCATTTCAAGTTTCTTGAATTTCTAACTCAAAATTGATTAGCAATGAGAACGATGTCATTTATATATTACTTAAGGTATCATCTACCTCCCATTTGAGATTCTAAAAATGTATGGTCTATGATGTACAGACATTTTACATGCCTACTCTAGACAAAGGGAAATTTGCCAAATCTACCACTTTCTCAAGTTTTTCCTACAAAAATGCCATATTTTAAAAAACTTTTCCTCCATACCACTTTGTAAAATTGGAAATGACCATTTACTCCTTATTTTCTCCACAAACACACACACAAATATCTTCTCTTCTTCTCTTTTTTTATCGTTTCATGCTCTCTCCCTCTTCCTTCTCTCTTTATCCTCTTCCTTTCTCTCTTTCTCTTTTTCATTTCTTTCTCTGTTTAGATTTAAGATTTGTTTGAAGTTAATTAGATCTATTTCCATCTCCACCATCGTCTTCTTCTCTTCTATATCACCACTGTGGATCAAAAAATTCAGATCTATAAATTTTGATATCCTCAAGAATAGATCTTTTAGTTTTCCTATCTAAATCAAGTTCATTCTCCCATCTAAAGATTCACTGGTTTTAATTTTGTTTTTAATTGGTTATTCAATTTCGATATTATGCATATTAAATGTTTGTTGTCTACGAGAGAAAAAAGAAGACGAAGATATCTGTCTACTAGAAAACTGAAGACGAAGAAAAAGATGTCTACGAGGAAACCGAAGATGTATATTGTCCATTATTCTTATATCAATCAACATATATTGTCTACTACTATTATATCAATCAACATATAGTTCTAATACTTCGTCATTTTGGCCAGACAGAGAAGAAGATGTTTACGAGGAAACCAAAGATGTTGTGGACAATATCATTGATTTGAATCTGAAATGTTGTCCACTTAAATAATAGACTAATAGGAATCTGATTACATTTTTTTGTCCATGCTTTTATTACTTTAAAAATATTGACCATTTACCAGATTAAAAATTTCAAGCAAACGTTATCGACGATTATTGGTCCAAGATGTATATATATGGTTTTTTTTGTCCATGCGAAGCAGATACTACAGACTTATTTGTATTTATTTCATGATATATGTATATACTTATAATTTTTAGTTTGGTGGACAAATTTAGACATGTATATTTGGTTGTTGTCCATATATGTGTGTGATATCATCTTTGACGAATCTATTTCGATGAATTGATAATGTTGGACAAAAAATATTAAAATAAAGAAAAAGAAGAGAATAAAAATATGTCTTGCTTCCCATTAATACAAGGATATTTTGGTCTCTTCATGTCATCTCTACCGCAAGAAAGTGGTAGTTTTGAAGAGTTTACACAAATGTGGTATTTTTGTTAAGGGTCCTACCTTTTTGTGGTAGAATTCACTTGAAAAAGAAATTGTTTAACAAACTACATAAGTTTGTTATATAAATTTTGTTTTTATACATCAATTATTCTTTTGAACCAAAAAAAATACATCAATTATTTTTACAGCATTTCTATAGCGTTTATTCTACCAATCATAAAAGGTAGATAGGTTGGAGTAAAACCTTATATGTCGTATATATATATATATATATATATATATATATATTGTCATATTCTGTTTTTTTTTTCTAACAAAATCATATTCTCCAATTAACAATTAATTGAATATTTAAATGTTATTGATATTATTTTCTGCAACAACAAATTTGAAGCTATAACCTAGATATAGAGACTAATTAATTTCTATATCCACAACATGCCGACCTTATGCAATCGTATTCTTTCGTATTCTTGTAGGCCATTTAATATTCTCAGAAATAATTAAAAATAAAAGGTTGGATTAATTTGGTGAAGAATTATATAAACTTAAAGTTGAAAGCTGCTTGATTGAAAACAGCTAGCAATAGGTCCCAAATAGTTAATGTTTGGTTATGGGTATTATACCGACCTCTTGTTTATGTCAACTACGTAATAGAATCCTAGTCACATCTTGTGGATATTACTTGAATCAATTAGACTAATGTGAAAGAAGTTTTAATATGTGAGTTTATTTATAGATATTCAGGACGCCATAACTTTTAGACGGACAATCTAGTCGGCCGACAATACTTTTTTGTAAAAGAGAACCCTCCGACGTGGCAATTAATCTTCATATGTTTTATCGAAGTTTATGTTTAAAGGAGTTTATTTATGCAAGATCTATTCTTTTTCATATCTTAAAAATTAATTTTAATGTTAATATATTATTTTTGAAAGCATTTAACCCTCTTAACAAACTGTATTATTGAGAAGAAAACTAAAAGGTTTCCTTCTGAAGCCCATGAAGATTGCTAAAAAGAACCCCAAAAAAAGTTGCATGGTACCTATTACTATTGGTGGATCCATAAAATGCAAACCTTAAAATTTAACAACGTTATATAAGACCAAATGAGTTGGTTGAAATCACTTACCACAGCCCAATAGAGATTTAGAGTGGTGTTCGCTAGCAACACATCCACCAATTCTATCTAAAGAGAAATTCTATGGGTATGATGATTGGATACATACACATAAGATATTTCTTCGTAGATGATGACAACAGGTATTGCTATTGTAGTTACCAAAAAAATTCAGTGAAGATGTGGATGTTAAAATTCGGTGTTATAAATGGATTAGCTAAAAGAAAAGAGGTCGCAAGATGACGAAAGAAACTAGATTTATAAGTAGTGAATGCCGGTTAATCAAAGCAAAACTAGAAAAAGTGTCATTAAAATTTTTAATTGGTTCTCCTGCAATTATTTGAAAATGCTACGTTTGCTGGTGTATGGTTGTAGTTGCTTGTGTTTAACAACAATCACTTATATCGTTATATACCATTTCACACCACTTAAAATTGTTAGATTTCAAACAGTCTTTCTCATCGGTATTTGCGGCAGCATACAATTATGTTGCGGATGATAATTTTTTTTTGAATTTATTAAAAAAAAAAAAGTAAAACGCTTTTCGTAGTTACTAACAAATGGCAAACAGTCTCAAACACGTTTTACGAGAGGTCCAAAAGTAGCAAACCAATTTTTTAAAAAGGGATATCAACCACTTTGTATATCATTTTGGGCAAGTCAAACCTCAAATGGTCTTCTCCGACTCTATCTCTGGTAGTTCTTGACTGCTTTTTTTGCTTCTCCGGTCTCTCCCCTCTGTTTTCATTCTCTGTAAACCATACTCTCTCTTTTTCAAGATGTCTCAGCTTTGTTTCCCTCCAAGTTGTGCTTCTGTTTCCTCTCTTCAAACCAACAAAGACTCTCTCTTCTCTCTTTGGTTTTGAATGTTGCCGAAGCTTGTCTCACTTTAGAAGACTTCCTGTGTAAATCAGATTTTTTAACTTGAAGCTAAGATCCTTCTTCCTTTTCTCCTCTCTACCTGAATCATGTCAAAAATTCGCCCAAGCTGGTATAGAGAGTCTCCTCCTAAGCAGTCCTCTCATACTTTTGAGCCTAAGGAAGAAGATGACGTGGTGGTGCTTCCTTAGGTGGATAACTCTGCTCTTCTACCTCGCCTTCAGCTCAGCCTTGTTGGTCGGATGTTCCATCTTGGAAGACGTAGCATTGAGACCCTGGTTTCTTTATTTCCCAAAGAGAATATTTGGGATGGGGAAGGAAGAGTTCGAGGAGTTTCCCTTGGAGACTCTTGTTTTCAGTTCTTTTTTGAAGCAGAAGTGGATCTACTGAAGATCCTTAACAAAAGACCATGCCACTTCAATAAATGGTCCTTTGCTCTTGAAAGATGGCAACCGCATATCGGAACCACGTTCCTAGCCACTATGACCTTCTGGATAAACCTTGAAGGTATCCCAACTGAATTTTGGGTGGAGGAACTTCTCAAAAACTTTGGAAACTCTTTTGGCACAGCCCATAGGGTGGATACCACCAATGGTAGAATCCAAGTCTCAGTGTAGGCTGATGCTCCTCTTAGGTTTAATAAACCAGCTCAACTCCCAACTGGAGAAATTGTGAAAGTTTAGCTCTTCTATGAAAAGTTGTTCCGCTGGTGTACGCGTTGTTGTCGGACTTGCCACGAGATTGACTCATGCCCTCATTTGGATGATAAACAGAGAGCTACTTTGTTTTCTTCTCTTGGCGGAATGAGCAACTCTCAGGCGGTTGTTTTACAAGATTTGTCTCCTGCCGGTGACAAGAAGAAGGACAACAGACGTCTTGCTCTTCATGCTTCTACTTCCCATGCAAGAAGTGACCGTGACCACCAACAACTCGCCAAGCTCGCAGCACCAACTCCATAGCCGTGGTTCAGAGTTCCCTCGCTCTTCAGGGGCCTTAGAAATACTATGTTCCTCTAAATCCATCAAACCATCATGCAAACTATCCAACCTCTTCTAAAAGAAAATCTGTGGATGATGGGCATAAGCGACGCTTTGATGATTCCTTTGGTCCAGGGACAAACCGTGGTTCCCCACAGAGAGGTCGAGGGGTTTATTCTCGCAAGGAGCACTCTCCATCTTACCATAGTCGGGATGATAGAAGAGATGAAAGAAGAATTGGTACTACCTTGTTATCTATGATTCCCACATGATGATTTCTGATCCCCTCCTGATTCCACCGAGGGCAAAGCAACGAAATGTGTCTCCGTCTCATACTCGAGACAGACCCTTTTGACTAAACCTTGCAAAGAACCTCACCTCGGAGGAGAAAGGAAAAGGCAAAGAGGCAAACCGTTCTGCTCAAATCCTTGGGGACTCTTTAGAGACAGGGAGCTCGGCGAAGAAGTCTCTCAACCTTGATTCCCAAGCTCCTGCCTCGGGGGAGGCTTTTCCGGTGAATCTGGTGGCCCCTATTCTTTGTGACAGTCAACAGGAGAAGAAGAAGAGTTTGTTCGAGATTATGGAGGAGGAGGAGGAGAGAGAAAGGAACGAAGACCCAGAGGCCTTTTTGGCAAAACAGTTCTCCTAATCCGTCAGTTTTTGGCAACTGGACTGCAGAGGATGAGGATGCTTTCAACCCTTTTGATTCTCCATGATTCTCCGAGGAGGAGAAGTTGGTCGATAAAGAAGATGATTTGCTGGGAGAAGAATTGGAGGACGAAATTTAGTCTCGTCAGGCCGAAACTTCGAAATCTCGATTGGTGGAGCCTCCAAAATCCCTCGATTTGTCGGCACATGTGAAGAAGCTCTCCGAAAAAATCAAGACCTCGATCGTGGCTGGTTCGGAGAATGGGCCAGAAGGAGAAGTTTCTCTCAAGGAACTGGGCCTTTCTCGGCCCAAAGCAAAGAAGAAAGAGCCCAAGAGGAAAGAAAGAGCCCAAACCCGTCAAACCCCTCAAAGCTAGGCCCTTCTGAGTAATTCAGCCTCCAAGAAAATCCAAAACATTAAAGGTCATTTCCCGAGCAGGCGCATATCCCTCAAATCCAGCCCGCCAAAGCCGAGGAGCTCTAGGAGGCACGCTACGGTTCCAAAGAGTGAAGTGTTTCCGTTCTCAAAGGTCAAGTCGTCTGGTTTGGGTGTTAGTTCGGTGGAGCCGCCAAAACTCCTCGACACTAACACATGAGACTCTTAGCTTGGAACTGTTAAAAGGCGGGTGTGCAGCTTACTACCCGTCGACTGGAAGAGATATGTCGTATGTACTCTCCATGTTTTCTTTTTTCTTATCAGAAACTAAAAACGATTTTGTACATCTTCAGAATATGCAAGTTTTGTTAGGTTTTGACTGCCTTAAGACTGTTGAACCGATTGGTAACAGTGGTGATCTCGCTCTTTTGTATTCGAACGATTATCCCGTTGAGTTTGTTTTTGTGAGCGATCAGTTTATTGATATTGAAACTATTATTGATGGAAAGCATGTCTTTACTACTTTTTTTTATGGCGATCTGTTATTTTAATACCGAGAATTAGTGTGGGAGCAATTAACTCGTATTGGTATTACCCGTTCGGACCCATGGTTTATGATTGGTGATTTTAATAAAATAACCGGAAACCATGAAAAGAGAGGTGGTAAATGGAGTTCTGAACCTTCTTTTCTCCCTTTGAGGTGTATGATTGAAAATTGCGGGATGATCGAGGTTCCATCCTTAGGTAACCTATTTTCTTGGGTGGGTCGCCGTAGTTGTGGAACTAAATGCCAAATAGTTTGCCGACTTATTAAAGCCTGACTTGAAAGAGTTTTGGCAAATGAAGAATGACATTCCATTTTTTCCACACTAATGTGGAGTATCGAAGATTATGGGGTTCTGACCATAGACCCCTACTAGCATCAATTCAGAACAGTCTGCC